CCTCCTCCTCCTCCTCCTCCTCCTCCTCCTCCTCCTCCTCCTCCTCCTCCTCCTCCTCCTCCTACTACTCCCTCCTCCCTCCCCTGGCGCGCGCTCGTCGCCGCGCGGCGCCCTCCCGCCGAGGCAGCCGCCAGCCACATGGGCGACAGCGGCGTGTTCAGGCGCCCCCCGCCCGTGGCGCAAAGGGCGACCCGCCTTGCGGCCGCCTCCGCGGGGGGCGGCGGTCGCCCTCTGCCGGCGGGGCCGCCGCCCGCCACCCAGACCCCCTCGCGTTGCGGAATAAATCACGACAGGAGGTGTTACGCTAGTTTCGGCCGCTGGGGGGCCCTGCCGGGCCTCGGGGCCGTCAGAAAACGACTCTTTCTCCTCCTCCTCCTCGTCCTCCTCCTCCTCCTCCTCCTCCTGCTGCTCCTCCTCCTCCAGGATGAAGGACTGGTCCCGGGGCAGTGGGTTCAGACCTGGGGGTCGAGGTCAGCAAACAAGCACGACGCCAGGGGTCTGGGCGGGAGGGTCTGCACGGGACGGCCTTCTCGGTCGCGGCGTGCTCCGTTCGCTTCGGCCCATGGGGCCCGCTGTGATGGGCCCGGGGCCGTCGAAGAGGAGCCCGGGGCACAGCGCTGACCCCCAGCCTGGGGAGGGGGTCGGGAGTCCTGAGGCCGCATACGGGACGAACTCGTATCGTAGGACGGGCCGCGGATTGGACAATTCAGATCGGAGACGTCTGACTCCCCCATCTTCCCTGATCCCCCTCCTGAGGTCGGCCGAGCGCCAGCGCCCGTCCGGCCCTTGCTGCCACCGCCGCTGCCCTCGAACTTGGGCTTGCGGCTCGGCGCTGGCGTCTTTGCAGCCGCGGCAGCTGCTCCCGGTATCCTGGGTGTTGCCGCAGAGCTGCTCGGAAATCACCCTGAATTTTTGGTTTGAGCCAGATCGTCGACCACGGTCATAATACACGTTATCGGGGACCCTCGGGATCTCTGGGATCTTCGACTTTTCTGACAGCACCTCGGTGGATTTCGGCTCGCTCGTCGTAGCAGTGGTTTCGAACCCCCTCGAACCACTAGCAGACTCCTTGCCGTCCTCCTTCGTCGACCCCGTCAGACTCGTCGTAAAACCCCTCGGTCGAGTCGAAGTCGCTCGCGCTGTCGATGTCCGCTGGAATTGTGTCGCAGTACTCGCTGTCCTCGGTCGAGCTGTCGATCGTGTCGGACTCGGTGTATGGTCAGACTCCAGAGGCCTCTTGGTGGTCATCTCGGGCCCTCTATCTAGCACTTTTTTCTTTGTGATTGCTGGTGTTCAACTCTTCTCTTTCCACTCCCCTGATCTCACGGATGTCGTGGCATGGCGTATCCAGTGACGTGGTGATGGCTTTGGCGATTTTCCATCACCGAAGAAGGAGGGGCGGTATCCCTATTCAGCGTCGGCTGGCTGGCTGGCCACTCCAGCGGTCTGTCCGCTGAACGCCTGGTGCAGGTTCTCGAGCTTCTGCCGAAGACCCTGCATCTCGTGCTTCGTCATCTTCTGGCCGTAGAGGTCCCGAGTCATGTCGATGCACAGGTGACCTGTCGAGATCCTCTTGAGCTTGACCAGCTTGTCCACTGCTAGCTTCGCGAAGCAGGCGATTCCAGTGGCAAAATCGATGATGGCCCCTGAGCGCCTCAGGAAATACACATATCCCAGCAGCTGCACGTAGCGATTGTTCTTCGTGTTCAGAGCGTACCCGGCGACTGTCCCGAGCTGCCCGTTCACTTGGAGAGTTAGTGCAGCCCTGCTCGAGCACGTCTCTGCAGCTCCGTTCGCGAATCCGAAGTTCGGCCGATCTGTCACATCGACCGTGACGCTGCTGGTGTCCATGGCTGCGGCCTTCTGCTTCTCGATGATCTGCTCCAGCGCCCTGATACATCCGAACGTCTTGGTCGCGCCGCAGTCCAGCACCATACAGCCTGCTGTCTCTTCCTCGAGCCCGGCCAGCGCGTGCTCGACCGTGCCGCCCTGCGTCGCATGGTAGGCTGTCTCGAACGATGTGAACGCCAGCTCCGTCGCGTCCTCGTCCTTCGGCACCGTCTCGCTGCTCAGCTCGACCTCGTAGTCCGGGATGTCGTCCCAGATGCCGAAGTTGAACGCCATGGCTCCGATCTGCTGCAACTTGTCCTTCGGCGTCCCGCCCTGGTTCGTCTCCTTGTTGCGCGAGCAGTGCTCGCGGTTGTGCGGTCCGCCACAGATGAAGCATGGACCTTGTCCCCTGCCACCTGCTGGTCGATCCTTGCCACGGGCCTTGCCTTTCTGATAGATTCCACGGCTCTGGTTGATGTCCTTGACAACTGCACGGGCCTGCGCCAGCGTCCTCTTCTGCGTGCGTACGTCCTTCGCGCCAGCGATCACGGCCAGTGCTTCCTCTGCCTCGGCGCGGTCGTCCTCGTCCAGGTCCTCGAGGTCCAGCTCGTCGTTGTCATCGTTCGCCTCATCGCCGAGGTAGGCCTCGTTGCCGCCTCTCCGTTCTCGTCGTCATAGCCCTGCTCTTCGTAGTCGTCCTCGTCGAACAGACCCAGAGCTCGTCCCAAGCCGGGCCTGTGCGGGAACATGTCTCTCTTCTTGTTTTGGGCGCAGTGCTCCTGGAGGTCGACGTCTGCCCACTGATCACGTAGTGCTGCCTCGATGTTCTTCAGGCTCAGCGAGTTCCTCGCTGACGATAGCACTCCCGCACGCTCTTGAGTGTGTTCCGCCAGTTGCAGGAGCAGCCATCCAGCCATGACCGACGGGGTGAGGGTCTCTCTCAGCTCAGCTGCAAAACCTCCTTCGGGGCTTTTGATGTCCACGTCGTCGTCCAGGTCGAACCTCGCCATCAGTGAATACAAATGTGCTTTCAGCGACGGTGAGCTCGCTGCTCGAGGCCACTCCCACTGCGAGCCTGACAGTCGACCTGGAGAGCTGGTCCACCGGCTGCTGCCACGTCACCAGCTTCCTCTCCAGTTCTCGTCCTTCCAGCTCTTCCCGTCGTCATCGTCGTCGCCCTGGATGCCGTTCTTCTCTTTCACGGACTCCAGCTTCTCCTCGGGTCTGGACCGCTTCTGCAGCTTCAGCTCGCAGCTCGGGTCCTTCACCTCTATTCTCCTGAAACTTTGGTCCAGCTTGTCGGCGACGATCCGACTCCGCTGGGCGTAGGCCTTCCTCCCTTCGTTGTTCTTCCGCCGCAGCGTGAAGAGGTACTCCTTGAGATACTTGGCCGCTTCCAGGATGGGTTCGTCCATGAGCGTCTCGTCGAGGAACTGTAGCAGTGTCTTGTGGCCGCCATTCTTCTCCAGCAGCTCCTGGCCTTCGTCCGACACCTCCTTGAGCGCCTTCCAGGCTTCTCTTGTCACCGCCGATGCCAGCCTCGCGCCAGCAACCGCCTTGTCACGAAACGAGAGCCTTGCCACGTACCACTTCACCCGTTCCTTGTACTCCTGGAAGCTTGCTCCATCTCCATCACACGCAGGATATGTTTGTCATGATCTCTATTGTCCGTCATGGTTGGTGCCAGCTATGCTGCGTGGAGCCAACTGGCTCCGCTACCAATGCGGGTTCGCCGATACTCCTGGTAATCTCGAAGCTGTCGTAGACACTCCTTTTATCTCCAGCAACGCGTGGCAACGCGTAGCACTCGTCTGAAACTCATCAGTACTGGCACCAGAGAGCTTGCCCACTATATGAGTGCAATCGTATCTGATATTTGTGAATGCCTCGGGGTCTGCGAGCTCTCTGGAGCCACCCAAAGGCGGCTCAAGGGGCCCCTCGAGCATAAACGGTTGCGGACAGGCAGGCAATGACACCCCCCCATTTGGGTGTTGCTGGAAGTGCCCCTGGCTCAACCAAGGTGCCCCCCAGGTTTCCCCCAGAGGGCCCCCCGGGGGCTACAGAGAATTGAGCCAAAGGCTTGGCGCACCTTGGGTCGGGTGCTCCTTGAGCGTGTCGGGCGCCCCGGCCCTCCTCCTCGCCCTCTCTGGGCCCTGTCAAGAAAGCAGGCAAGGATCACGAGCTCGGCCCGCCCTTCATCTGGGCCATGGGAGGATTGCTCAAGGGACTGGTGTCCCTGGGCGACGCGATTGGAGCACAGAACGCCCAGCAAGTCAACAAGTGCTTCAAGGAGTACGCCGAGTACTCAGTCGACACGAAGTGCGAGCTCGTGCTATTCTGCCGCCAGGACAAGGTCTACAACAAAGAACAGCGTCGCCTCACGGTTTCATGCCGAGACCCAGCGTTTCGCAACATCCTAATCAGTTCGATGCTGCAGATCCAGGGTGTGAAGCGCAAATACGGTCGTGCCCCAGCAGCGTACATGGAGAGAGCGATTCAACAATTCCTCGAGACGCTGCTGAAATAAAGGTGGACAAATCTACATATGATGATCGATCGACCACAGCATTGGACGCTACAACTACGAGTCCAGAATGCGAAACTCTGGATGATGATCTACAGGCTCTTCATCTACCAGATGATACTCCACCCTGGACCCAGGCGCAGCGCTTGAGTTTCTTGCGAGGGGAGGATAAGAAGGAGTCGTCTGCTACTGCTGCCGATGTTCCTCCACCTCCTCGACCAGAACTGAAATCGTCTGAGGCCCCCGTTTTATATGTTTCCCCGCCTCCTCCTCTTCCTCCCCCTCCCGCCCGACCCTCGGATGCCCATATAGTCACGGAGGATCTAGTCTCGTGCGGGGTTTTCCCAGGGACCGCCAAATTCGAGACACTTTTCAATAGTAGGCATATACTGAGCATAGCTAAATCACGAGCTACCTCTTAGTTGCCCTGGCCCCTCGTGGCTACCTCATGCGTCGGTGGCTGCATGGGGCCAGGCTGGTCCTTCTCGGGACCTCAGCCACGGCCCTAGGTGCATAGAGCATGGCATATGCACTCTCCTCTTAAAGCCAGAGGTTCACCGTGCCAGTAGCCATTCGCAGTTGTGCGAAATACCACGATTGGCGATTGCGCGATTTTGAACAATAGCTCGAGTATGTAATCACTCACTATGACAGAAACAAGGTTGGCGCCGAAGGTGTGCGAATCGAATCGAATCTCTGGGCCCTCCTCCTCGCCTCCGCCATCCCCCCCCCGCCTTCAAACAAAAACAGAAGCGGGCGGGGGACAGATGGGCTGTCCCGCTGCCCCTGCAGAGGCCTGAAGAACCTACACACGCCGGTCGTTGAGAAAGTATATGTTTTTTTTTTTGGGGGGGGGGAGTCCCATATCCCAATCTACTTTAGGCGCCTGCCTACTTCAAAGAGTCGAGCAGTGTTCCCTCTTCCCTCTTCAGGGGGCGGGCGGAGACCCAGTCCACGTCCAACGCCTTCGTACTTCATGGTTCTACCTGCCTCTTCCGACCAGCGTGTGTATGTGCCCCTGCAGTGTTGCGTGCGGGCGTCGACTTCCCGGGCCCGCCCCGGGACGGGCGCCCCGCGATTGCGGGACAGCCCTCCCATGTCTGGAGCCTCGAGGAGGGCCTGAGGTGGCCCCGCCAGTCACTACTCACCAAACCACCCACCCTAGTCCAGCCCGAAGGTTCCCCCCCCCAATTTCGGGTGGGGGGGTGCACGGGTTCCATGATGTTTTCTCTCGATGCTCCAGAACGTCCCTCCGCTGGAAATGTGCAGGCATTGTGGTTGCCCCGGGTTGGGCTGGGGTGGCCACCAGTGGGTGGTCAGCACAGGTTTTGGCCAGCAGGAAGGGCGGGCAGGCTCGAGGCTCTGGGTTCGGAGAGGCTTCTCCCCTTCTCGGCCTTCGGGGGCCTCTTTCGGGCCCATTGGTATCGCTCGGACGCGTGCACTTATTCTCGGCGGGGATTGTTCAGGAGCATCCTGGATGCGACGAGACCACGCACGAAGCCGAAAAAAACGCAGGGAATGGGCGTCCGAGCGATGGCCAGGCCCAGGGGCCGTGCAGCACGCATCCGGGGAGAAGACGCGGCACCAGCAGGACCCCTGCATGGGGTCCGGGCGCCGATTCTGCCGCGATGTGTCCTCCCCCCCTCTCCGGAGGGAGCCCCCGATCGGGGGCTCCCTCCGATTCGGAGCCCCTGGGCGCCTCTCCGGCTTCCTGTGCCGCTTCTTCGTCCGTGGGAACTCGTCCTCTCCGTCGAGCAGTGGCAGAGCGTCCTGACCTGCCGACCGGCCCACCGGATGAGATTCTGAGAACCTCACCGGGTCCCTCCATTCGAGCACTCATTGGTTCCAAGAGCACATGTCTGGTAGGCCTATGGGAATGCCGGGGCGCACGGTTCCTGCTCCACTTCTTCCCGCCTCCTCGGGCCCCCAGCGTCGCATTTTTTGTTCTCGCAGCGCGGCCCCGGCCGGAGGTCTCGACCCATTCCCTGGGACGAGCTCTTCATCCCGAGTCGCCTTTGACGGCGCTGGGGAACGACGAGGGCCCCCAGAGGCCGACAATAGCAAAAGGCCTTCCGCCTCTGAGATCCCGACGTGACGAGAACAGTGCAGCACCGTCGAGCAACTCGACCCGAGCCCTGGACTCTTATCTATGTGCTGCACTTTTCGAGCCGGATCTGTCCATGAGGGTCCTTGGGCCAGAAACAGGGCAACATTGCCCGTTGCGAGAAAGTGCGACGTCAGGATCTCAGGAGCCAGGACGTTTTCACGACGCGATGGGATTTGCACGGGTCTAGTCCTGCCAGATGGGGTCGCAGTAGTTAGATGGGGTCGTAGGGTCTCGCCGTGCCGCATCGTCGATGTATCGGCGATGCGGCTCGATGTGGAGCCCGATCTTCTCGACGCCTGCGTCGCCGATGCATCGCGCCGACGTCGGCGATGCATCGGCGATGTACTGGCCATGCGGCGCGATCCTCCGCCCCCGCTGCTCGGCCTCCGCTGGGGAGGCCTCCATCGTGGGTCCCTCTCCGTCGCCGGGCACCGCCGCCGAGCGCCGGTGTGCAGCGCAGGGCGTGGGGGCCGCCCTGCCGCCGTCCTCGCCAGACAGGTTCCTGGACCCCGGTGTTCGCCGCGCGTGGCTCGGCCGGTCCTGCCACGCCTGCCCAGGGCCATTGCCGTCTGGCTTGCTCATCCGGCCTCCTCAGAGGAGGAGAGGGCACCGATGCCGCTAATCACCCATGCCTCGCCGTCGCCCTTTTTGGGGGGCCTCCTGGGAGGCCCTCGTCGCTACGGCTGGATTCGCGGTGAAATGCTGGTCGTGAACGCACCCTGAGAGAGGTCTGGGGAGTAGCGGTATCGGTACCTAGTCGTTTTCCCCGCCTCCCCCTTTCCTAATGCCGTGATGTTTCACGCCGCGCTGCATTTCTAGCGTCTCCTTCTCTCATTCCGAGTTTCTGCGCAGTGGTCTTCCGCCTCCAGTCGCAGGTTGATATTTTCACAGTGCTCGATGTGCCTGTAGTTGCCGCGATGCCTGCCCTCAAGGGAAAGTGGGCGTCGTGTTTCGCCGCTCGTTTTTCGGGGTCCTGCCGCGCTTGCCTCGGGCCCATCTTCGAAGAAGAAAAGAGGGCATAAACATCAACTTTCGGAGGTCCGCCCAGATTTCTTGGATCTGCCTCTTGCCCCCTCCATCGCATCTTCCCTGCTTCCTCATCCGCTGCCATACAGCGGCTCGAAGTTAAATCATATGACACACTGTCGCATTACCAAAGTGAGGCTGCCTGGTGTCGGATTGCCTATTCAAGACGGTTCGCGATCACCGCCAGCTCATTCAGTCCTGACTGTCGTTTTGTCATTCGCCACGTCGGGTTCGGTTTTCGATGCAGAAGAGTGAGGAACGCGGGGAGAAGTCTGGGTCGATAAGCATCAATCGGATGCTGAGGTTAGGACAAAGGCAGATGATGCCGAAGATGTGCCCTAGGCGGACCCTAAACCGCTCCAAACGGCACCAGACTAAGCCCAACACGGTCCAAATGCTGTCCAGCTTTGTGTTCCAAAGCAGTTTGCATTGACCCGGAACGATGTCCGAGTGATCTCTAGGCCAGGCGGTGTCCAGTGCTATTTTGGACATTGCATTCGGACCCCATGGGTCAAAAAGTATCCCAGCTTGGGTCTCAGAGCATGGTGTTGGGGTCGTATGTAAGCATTCGCATGATGAGCTCGGCAACTTGTCTAAATAGCCCCCATCATTTTTCCCAGCCAGGCAATCACGAAACGTCCCAAGATGTTGGAATGTACGTTGCTTCCTCCACCGTTCGGTGAAATTGGCCTCGGAAGTTGCTTATGGAGACCAGATGAGCCGATCTTGGATGCTAAGAGGGTCCGTAGAGAGTCTGCTGGTCCCGAAAGCGGTCGGACAACGATACGAAATTCGATCTCGTCTTGGACATCGCCTTGGAGCCCGTCGGGGGTTCGGAGAACGATGTTGGAGCGCAGTGGGTGGCGAAGCAGTGTCATCCGCACGTCGGCATTGCGAAGCAGTTGCCGGGGACAATGGGGGCCTCTGGGTGCACTTGGATGGCTCTCGTGAGTTTGTTGGGGGCTTCGGGAGGTTTCTGAGGGCCTCTGGGGGGCCTCTTGGAGGTCTCAGGATGGGTGATCCTGCGTATCGTGTTTTGCGGGAAGCACATCAGGACAATGTTTGATCGGATTCTGATCAGTTTGGGATTTCTTGGAGTTTTTCGGGGGCGTTGTTGAATCATGTGAGGACCCTCTCGTTGGATGTAGTCCTTAGCGCTCTCGAAGCTAGATGACGCCCTCTTAGGGTAATTCTCGGGCTTCGTAAATCCTACTGGAGCCCGCAAAAGCGATATTGCCGAAAGCATAAAGGCTCGGGTCGTTTTTCAGACATTTGGCCCCTTGGGGGGCCTCCGAGCAAGCTGGTGATCTTAGATGTTTAGTGGGCCGTGTGTTCGAGGAGTCTTGGGCCACCTTGGTGCCATTTTCGGACTTGTTTTGTCATTTCGGCGCCATCGTGGAGGCTCTAAGAACAACCCTGGAGCCAAATGGAGGACAATTTTCCTCGAAGATGGGTGCCTCACGTTGACCACCGCTATTGAGCCGATCTTGACACGAGTTCTCCATGAGTCTCTCTCCGGCGGGGTCTCCAGGAGACCTCGCGCGCGCGACAGCAACCAAGCAACAAAACAACCACACTATAAAATCGATTGATTTCCCTGACTTGGGGATCTGATCCGCCCATGGCCCGCTATCATGGGCGAGAAACTTTTCCATGTCCACGGCCTTGCGGTCTGGACTCCGCGGCCGCGGCCGCGCTGATGTTCACAGGGCGGTCTCGCACAGATGCCTTGCGCGGAACGTACCCGTGCGGTCGTTTATCAGTGGGATCGTGCCCTGGACTCCAGAGCGAGAGGGCGTGGACATGGACATGTTCGTCGCTCGTGATGCTGGCTCGGTGAACCATCGGTCATGGCCTCGCCGCCCGGCGATGGACGCAGATGGCCAGCGTGCTGTGGCAGGCCGCGTGCCTGCCGCAGGCGCGAGCGGTACGAGAACGGCGTTGACCGCCTGACGCTGAGGTTCGTGGATCCGACTCAGGAGGCTGGCTTCGCGCACACCCACAAGGCGAGGTTGTCCCTCTACATCTCATATTCGATCGCTGCGCTTGCAACCGTGGGCCTGATGACGAGCTTGACTGCTCACAGGTTCTGGGACGACGCCCAGTACCCAACACGGGAGGCCCAGGAGCTCAGCAGGTTGCAGATGCTCATCCTCACGGTCATCATCCTGTCCTTGATCCTCGCCCTCGGAATTGGGATAGTGCTTGCCAAATACAATATTGTCGGCACCCTGGGGTTGGAGCTCCTTGTTGTGTCTGCAAGCAGTTGTTTCATGGTATTGATGGTGACCATTCCGAAACACTACATCGCGCGTGTGTTCGGCCACGACGACCCAGAGGCCATATGGGGTGTGGATCTTGGTCCCACTGACGGCAGCCTGGTGCTGTACATCGATTTGGTGGTCACCGCCATGCATCTGCTGCTGCCCATCCGCTGGGTCGTGCTTGCCCCCCTGGAGGTGATCGCCATCCGGGCGACTTCAGCCGACCACCGCACCGATCCTGGCCGAGCCCCACCCTGGGCCCACGATCGGCGTCTGGGCCCTGGCCTGGCCCGCGGAGGCGCAGACACCGACCGTGGGGCCCAGGGACCCCTCCTCCTCCTTCCTCCTCCTCCTTCTCCTCCTCCTCCTCCTCCTCCTCCTCCTCCTCCTCGAGAACGGACCTCCTCCTCCTCCTCCTCCTCCTCCTCCTCCTCCTCCTCCTCCTCCTCCTGCTCCTCCTCCTGCTCCTCCTCCCCGGCTACCCAGCATCGGCGGGGCTGGCCGGCCGACGCCGCCCGAGCCGTCCTGGCCTACACCGTGCCCGCGCTGGTGCTCGGCAGCCCGGCCATGAACATGGTCATGTTCAACATTATAGGGCTCCTGGCGCTCACGCTCTTCGCGGCCATCGGGAAGCGAGCCTTCGAGAGACAGGAGCGGGCGCTTTTCGCGGGGCTCCTGTCGGAGAAGCGGATGCGGTGCCAGGCCGAGTTCCAGCTGTCCAAGGTGGACCTCGGCGAAGCCGCCCGGGCGGAGGACCTCAGCTCCGACCTCGGCCGAGCATAAATCGTAGTGATTCGTGGATCACGTGATCGCCGATCGTGTGATCGGCTCGGCTTGATCGCGCGAACGTCCGCGCTTGAGTGTGTGAAGGGTCCGTGATCGAGGCAGCACTCGTGATCGGGGCTGCGATCGGCTCGTTGATCGGGTGGTGTGATCGGCCGAGTGATCGACCAGACACCGAGGCTCCGACCGGTCCGACAAGCTGTCGCGCCCGGGGACGACCATGAGCGCTGCGGCCTTCGAGGGCAGCGAGGAGAGCGCATCTTTCGACCAGGTCCACGCTCTCGGCCAATATAAACGTTGCAAAGCAATGCGCCAAGCCTGACAGCCAACACTGGTGCAAGCAATTTCAACGGAACAGAACAAGCATCATGCAACAATCTAATACAACAGCCACTACCGAATGGCCTTCGGCCCATCCCGCCACCGCGCCTGCGTTGTGGGTATGCAGCCTATTGGATGTTCGTTGGGATCTCGTGGGAGGCCTCTCGGTGGCCTCTTGGAGGCAGTTTGGAGGCCTCTTGGGGGCGGTTTCGGGGCCTCTTGGGGCATCTTTTGGGCCTCCTGGGGGCCTCTTGGGACCTCGTAGGGGCCTCTTTGGGGCCTCTTGGGGCCTCCTGGGCGGGGCCTCTTGTGGCCTCCTGGGCGCCTATTGGGGCCTCCTGGGGGCCTCTTGGGGCGGAAGGCATGAATGTGCGCTTCGTGTTCCCTATCTTGGGCCCCTTTGGGGGCCTTCTTGAAGCCCTCTTGGGGTGTCTTTGGCGCCCCTGGGGCCGTCTTGGGGCGATTTTCGGCCTTCTTGGGGCCCTCTTGCACCGTCTTGGGAACCTCGTGGGACCCTCCTGGCCCGTCTTGGGGCCCCTGGGCCCGCGACAACACTGCCGGGAGCCCAGGGGGCACGCGGGAAGCCCCAGGGGGCACGCGGGAAGCCCCAGGAGATCTCGGATGGGGCTCGGGCCCCCGGATTGAGGAGGATCGGGAGAAGGACCTGGGGACACACATCCATTGCGTGCACACAACAAACGCTAAGGTGTGCGACTTGAATATAACCAAGCATACGACACATCGACTCAAGTACATACGCACAATGATCCAACACAACCGCACGCCACAGTCAACTTCTCTAAGCAAAGAAAAACAAAGGTCCGTGCCATCGGCCAGCGGGAGCAGTGGCTCATCGCCAGCGGCGAGGTGCAGATCCTGCCCGACAGGGTCCTCGGCGAGGGTGGCTTCGGCATCGTCGTGTCGGGGCTGTACCACAACACCGTGGTGGCGGTGAAGGCGCCGAAGCAGGACTCAGAATAGGAGGAGGAAGCTCTACCGATACCGCTGCGGTTTCCTCGTTTTTGTTTTTGTTCGGTCTCCTGAGAGGCTCTCGTCGCCACGGTTAGATTCGCCTCGACAGTTTAGCCAGACCGCACAACGGGAGAGGTCTGGAGAGTAGCGGTATCGGTACATTTCGGCCTCCCCACAGAGGAGGAATCTCATGCCGATGCCGCTGCTCGTCCTGGAGAGCCCTTGTTGCCACGGCTGGGTTCTCCTCGAAGTTCTTGACGCTTCGCGTGTCACCGTCAGCCCATCAAACAACTGTGCCCAGGCAAATTGCCTTGATCAGGGAAGCGGGGGGGGCATGCAGTGGAACAGAGAGCTGGGGAGGCTGGTCAGCCTGAGCAGAACCAAGAGGGCGGAGGACAAGGATGAGGCGGGAGGAGGAAGAGGAGGAGGAGGAGGAGGAGCAGGAGGAGGAGGAGGATGAAGAGGAGGAGGAAGGCGAGCACAAGGAACATTAGTTTGAAGGAGCACTCTCTCACACAACTTCTGGTGTACCCTAGGTGGGAGGAGGGGAAGGACGAGGGGGAGGAGGAGGAGGAGGAGGAGGAGGAGGAGGAGGAGGAGGAGGAGGAGGTGGAGGACGAGGAGGAGGCGGAGTAGGAGCAGGAGGAGGAGGAGGAGGAGGAGGAGGCGGAGTAGGAGCAGGAGGAGGAGGAGGAGGCGGAGGTGGGAATAGCATGAGGGAGAGGGGGCGGCGCCTCTCCTCCTGGTGGAGCTCTCTTGGGGGCGCTCGTGTCAGCTCCTGGTGCCGTCTTGGAGCCACTTGGGGGGCCTGTGGGGCTCTCCTTGGCCTTTCTTGAGGCCCTCTTGGGAGCCTCGGGGGCCACCTTGGAGGACATCGATCGAAGAAGGGGGGGGGTCCTTACGTAGCTCTGTCCCCCTGGAGCCCAACAAGTCGCCTCCTGGGGCCCTCTTGGAGCGTTCTTAGGGCGCTCTTGGGGCCCTCTCGGAGACCTTCGGGGCCCCTCTTGGAGCCCTCTAGGACCATCTTGGAGCTATCTTGAGGCCTCCGAGCGCCAATACAATCAAGAAGGCCAAACATGTTGATTTGCCATGTGTTTGGGAAGGGTGTTGACCTCTTGGTGACTTCCTTTGGAGGCCTCGTGATCACTTGGGGACGTTTTGGTGCGGTCCAGGCCCCTTGCAGCATGTTATTCACCATCTTGAGCCATCTTGGAGGTCATTTTGGCTTCTCGGGGGCCTTCTTGGAGCCATCCTGGGCCAAAAAAGGCTCTCCAACCACCCGCGGGGCGCCCAGGCCAGGTCCAGGGGATGGGGTAGTGGGAGGTGTCAAGGCATTTTTCCCAGACGCAAACCGTTTGGCTCACTACCACCCACCCTCCCAACACATAAGTAGTACCCGAGTCTCAGCATATTCAGCGGTCGTCTTCGGATGGTCAGCTATATTGGGAACTAACACAGGCCCCAGGTGGGCGACGCTGGGGCGAGATGCGCCACGCGTGCCAGGCGCGCCATGTGGCACCGCATGCTCCAGCCGCGCTAGGTGCACCACGTTCGGGGCACGCGCAGAGTGTGCCAGGTGCACCCGCGTACGTCGGGAAACATGTCGGTCCCCACCATACTTGTCAAACACCGGCGCACAATCGTGGCGGAGTCGCCATTATGATGTCTGGTGGGCCTGCGCACAGCAGGCAAAATTCCAGCCCCCCCGCAATCCTTGTGCAAAGCCACTGCAAAGTGATGGCAGGGTGCCTGCGCATGATCCAAATTTTGGCCGCGAAGTGCACTTTGCATTATGTGGGATGGTGGTCCTGCGCGCAGCAGGCCACATGCTGGCACCAAACCGTCCCTGCCTAAGAGAAATGAAAAGTGACCGCGGGGCTCCCGAACATGACCCAAGACATTGCTGCCGAAAAGTGCACTTTGCAGTGTTTTTGTTTACAGGGATGGCGGGGGGGGCGACCTCGTGGTCCCGGCTTGGTCGCCGGTCGGGTGGGGGACGGGGGTGTATAGTAATAAGGAGCAGTGATCTCAAGCTTCCCCAAGAGACCTCCTACTACATGAGTAGCACTCGAGTATCAGCATAAGCTGGGGCCACCATGGAAAACCATCGGGAACCAATGCAGACGCCAGCCAGGTGCGCGATGCCCGCGTGTTTTGCCGCACGTGTCAGGTGCGCCACGCGCACCAGGTGCGCCACATTGGGCATGCACTTTGTATTGTTTTTGATTACAGGGATGGTGTGGGGGGGTGTTGTTGGCATTGTACACACCAGGCAATATGCTGGCATCCCCGCCGTCCTTTTCAACAACCCATGCGAAGTGATCGCGGGGCGTCCGCGCATGATCCAGTTTTTTGTACAACATGCACTCTGTATCGTTTTGCATGGCGGAGGGGTGCCCGCATGTGGGGGAGGGGGTGAATATGAGTGAGGAACAATAATGAACCCTTCCCCGAAGAGGAAAAGTGGGAAGATGGAAGAGGAAACCTGCAAAACAACCTCCGCCTCGAGGGCTGGTGGGATTCTCGTCAGAATGTGTCCCGGGAGAGGTCTGGGAGTAGCGATATCGGTACCTTTCTGTCCCCCTGAGGACATCGCGAGGAAGGACGGCATCAACTCGTCCCTGCCCGAGCTCTGCAACGAGCTGAGGATCGGAGCTGGGCGAATCGAGACCACGGGCAGCTCAAACTCGGTCCTGGGCCCCTCCCGGGGTCTGACCATACCAGTTTCCCTGCTCGGCGTCCAGCCGTGGCGACGGCTCTGCCCCGAAGGCCAACTACTGTTGGCTCAACTGGCCCTCCTCTGATAAGGGATACGTGAGGCTTCGTGCTGCGCGCAGACAGCCACCCCCGGGCAGTCTTGGCTGGCCTCAACAGCAGGAGGCCTCATGCGAACCCCACCCCAGCACCCTACGATTCTGCAGTCGGCCCGGATCAGTAGGTCGACCTAGCCAAATCAAGGGTACCTTTGTGTCCTGTGCCTCGCGACCCGTGCCTCCTGCATTCCTGTGGCAGTGTGGCCCTCGGAAGGGTCTCGTGTCCTCTCGCGCGCCCTCTCCAATCAAGTCCGACTGCATGGGGGGAGGTGATGTTCGGGACCCCCCGAGCGAAGTTCGGGAGGAGGAGGAGGAGGAGGAGGAGGAGGAGGAGGAGGAGGAGGAGGAGGAGGAGGGGGAGGAGGAGGGGGAGGAGGAGGAGGGGTGCTGGGTAGGGTTCGCACGTGGCCTCAGAGACCGCGTCGGTCTCCACGTCCCGACCCCCGGGAGCGCGGTGCGCCCCAGCAGGGGCGCCGCCCGGGAGGCGACGCCATGGTGTTGAGACCGCCCAGGGCTTCTCGGGGGGCTCGTGGAGGCCATCCGGGACTACACATTGTTCGTTTCTAACTCTTCGAGGGTTCTTGGGTTTTTGGGGGGGGGCCAAGGTCCTCTCGATTCTGATTCTTCCATCCCGAGCCTCTTCCTGGCCGCCAGGGGGCCAGGAGCATTCGGAAGCGAACACCATTCGACATCAGCACGATCAGAAATGAACAACGCGTACCCAGGGGTGGGGGGCTGTCTGTGCGCATGCCGCAATCTAGCATAATCCATGTTGTTTCCGCTCAATCCTGGCCATTCCGATCCAATCCAGCCTGGTCCCTGGCTTCATCTGGAGTGATCCGGCTCAAGCACCCTTCAATCGGGCTCAGTAATTATCCCTTCAGCGTTCTCATGGAAACCTCCCAGAAGTGACTAAAAGAACAGAGGATCCTTCGCCGCATCCGCCACCCCAACATTGCCTTCCTGTACGGGGCGTGCATGGACGACACCCTGAGCAGGCTGCAGGGCCCGACCTGAACGGTGTTTTGGCGACCTCTCACCCCCCACCACACCACCCCAACCCAACCCGAAGGCCCGCCCAAATTTGCCCTCCATTCCCAGTGGGGGCGGGATCGGCGAACATCGAAAAAAACACCACATCTGAAGCTCGACCCCCCCCCATCCGAAATTCGGGTCTTCGGGTTTGGTGGGGTGGTCTGCTAGGTAGTCAACCTCGCGGACTGTTGTTTTTGATATCGTTCTGCATCACAGACGGAATGAAGGCACACCACGTGGAAGCGGCTTCACCAAACGACACCGGAAGACACTGTGCAGAGGGAGGAGGAGGAGGAGGAGGAGGAGGAGGAGGAGGAGGAGGAGGGAGGAGGAGGAGGAGGAGGAGGAGGAGGAGGAGGAGGAGGAGGAGGAGGGAGGGGGGGGGATGGGGGGAGGAGGGGTGAGGGGGAGGAGGGAGGAGGAGGAGGCGGAGGAGGAGGAGGAGGAGGAGGAGGAGGAGGAGGAGGAGGACCTCGTTTGGTTGGGGCCCGCTGGGATAGCGGAGTGACCGCCCCGTGACGAGTACCACCGCCCCTTCGGGCCTACGGGCCAGCGTCATGGCAGGGCGTCGGGCCGAGGCGCATTGTCCGTCCCAGGGGTACCGAGTCACGGGCCAATGGGCGAGGCGCCTCTCCCTGTAGGATGGGTAAGGAGGAGAGCAGGGGCGGGAAGGGGCAGTGAGATGGAGAGAGGGAAAAGAAGAAGAGGACGAAGAAAAGTAGAAGAAGGACAAGAGCCCTCCCCCTCCGAAAACCATCGCACCCCTCATCGCCACGTTCAGACAGCTGAGGGCGCAGAGAAGGGAGGGGGCGGACCGGACGACGACAGGGATAGGAAGGGTGGCGCGGCAGACCGTCTGCGTCGAGGGCGCGCCTAGCCCCTACCCTCCACCCCCCGCTTCATGCTGCAGCGGTTGCCGGAGGGTCGGGCTGGCAACCCAACGCCCGCCGCGGGAGCGCCTTTCCCATGCACGACTCGGCCCGCGGAGACCCAGGCCCATCCCTCGAGAGAGGTAAAGGGAGGGCGAGCAAGAGGGGAGGGAGAGGGCAGGAGAGAAGAGAGGGGCGGCTGGGGACGCCCTCAGCGCCGCCGTCCTGCCCTGCCAAGCGCTGCTGTCCTTCTCTTTTTCCTTCCAGCCGAGCCCGAGTGGCACCCCGGCCCCACTGTGCCAGCACGCCGAACCTGGCCCACGCCTGGTTCCTCCCAGCGCTGGCCCAGCCGCCGGGCGCGCCGCGCGCCCACGCACTCAGCCCGGCCCAAGCCCAGGCTCCCCAGCGGTAGGCGAGGCAGGCTGGACGGACAAAACCAAAAGGCAGCCACTTCGCGCGGAGTCGATTGGGAGGAGGACGTAGGGCCCGACCTGAGCAGGCTGCAGGGCCCGACCTGAACGGTGTTTTGGCGACCTCTCACCCCCCACCACACCACCCCAACCCAACCCGAAGGCCCGCCCAAATTTGCCCTCCATTCCCAGTGGGGGCGGGATCGGCGAACATCGAAAAAACACCACATCTGAAGCTCGACGCCCCCCCCATCCGAAATTCGGGTCTTCGGGTTTGGTGGGGTGGTCTGCTAGGTAGTCAACCTCGCGGACTGTTGTTTTTCATATCGTTCTGCATCACAGGCGGAATGAAGGCACACCGCGTGGAAGCGGCTTCACCAAACGACACCGGAAGACACTGTGCAGAGGGAGGAGGAGTAGGAGGAGTAGGAGGAGGAGGAGGAGGAGGAGGAGGAGGAGGAGGAGGAGGA